AAAAAAAAAAAAAAAAAAAAGAAAAAAGATGGGAAATAAATTTGAAATGTTACCTAAATGTATGTATAAGAATTTTAAGGCCACTTGAATGTTGGGTCAGCTTAAACAGTCGCATAATACGTATAATGGAAAATATTTCAAGATCTGCTGTTGTTCCGATGTTTGCCAACAATAAGTCCACATAGAATGTTAATGTTGCAACCAAATCAATAACATTTACCTAAACTGTTAACCAGTTAACTTTTACAAGAAAAAAAGTGTTGAAGAAATGAGGATTATTAGAAGATAAAAAAAAATTTTTTTTTTATACACAACTTGTTACTTTTTAGATGTTTTTTTTCTTGAAACTTAAACTTAAAAGTTCAAAAGAGTCAAAAATTAAATATCCAAAAGGGTTGTAAATTAATGCTACTGTTACTGTTGATATATTTTACGGATTACTTGAACAAAACAAAAACATATAAGTTTGTAAATTTTGTTTTATACCAATGCTAAAAATAGTTTTGGTTAAAGTTGCATTACAATATGTTACACCTACCGGTGTTTTAAAATATGCAATTTTACTCGGACAAGTGGTAAAACGAAGAAGAATTTCAATTGTAAACCATACATTACATACCGCTTCAAGAACCTGAAATAATATGTAATAATTTTTTTCAATTGAACTATGATGGGTTTACAAAAAGTTTTATTCAAAAAAAAATTTTGTTTATAAGTTGCTATTGCCAGCTGAAATTGCTTACATTGAATGCTGGATGAGCTTTGGAATTTCGTTGCTCAATTCCGACACTTTCGGTACGAAATTTTTGTGTATGCCGAAGATGTCGGGTTGGATGTGTGGAAGTGTTGTCCGGATGTTCCGATAACTCGACAATCCGAAATTCGGGGCATGTTTTTAGGCAAAATGTTATAATTGCAACAACTAGAAAAAATACTGAAACTGTCGCTATCACCTGCAAAAGACAGAAAAATAACCATTTTAGATAATGATCAAAAGTTTCGGGTTGTTTACAAAACTTATCTATCAAAATTTGAAAAAAAAGTGTTGCTCCAGAAAGCTGTATTTGCTGGAATTTTCTGTTACAATGCTGAAAAAACCAAAAGTAGTTGAGCGCTAATTTTAATGCTTTAATTTACTTTGAAAAATCAAACTTTTTCGATAGTTTTTTTGGAGTTTCGGGAGAAAAAAGTTTTTCAAGCTATTGCTTACAGTAACTACTTTTTACAGGATTTTACAAAAACTTGTAGTATTGGTTTGCAGAAAATTTTAGCTTATTAACGAACCGCACTGAAACCTGGGGAACTGAACGACAAAAGTTTACTTTTTCACGCATTGCAGTTGGGGAAAATACGGTGGCTATCAGTATTTAAAAACCGATATTGTACCCAGTTCCTTTTTTTGCCAACTAATGTATTCCGGGAGGAACAGTCATCTGTTTCTTTGTTTAAAATTTCATTCAACATTTTCTTTTTTCTGAAATTACTTGACTTCTTTCCGCGAAAAAAACTGAGCATTGTATTTTAGTCGAGGAAGGAAGTCACTGAGATCATAAAGTGTAGTGCGGGGTACAAGGAAGAAGAGCAATATTCTTAATTGTTTTTAGCAAGAAAAAATATGTGAAAGTTATTTTTTTTATGAACACTTGTTTTGCATCAGTATAAAGATATCTTCTGACATTAATTTGGACATTCACTCAGCAACATATATTACATTACATCAATCAAATTGTTCTGAAAGTTATTTATTCAACGGCTTCAAAAATCTGTTAAGCCTTAAAAAGCAATGAAAAACCTGACTTAATTTGAGTAATTGAGTGCCTTACAGAAAGTACAGTTGTTGAATAGATATTGATATATTATTGGTTTTACAACAGTTGACTATAAAAACTCTCACTAAGTCTCCTTGGGCAGTTCTCAATGTTGTCCCTCTGGACAAAGGTGAAATGGTGAGGGTCAAAAATTCTGGAGAAATAGAGCTTTTTTATGTCATTTTTCTTGAATAGAGGAAACAAAATTGTTATTTGTTCAAAAGGAAGAAAGCAATACTTCTCTTTTGCAAACTTAAAGACTACCATCTAATGCCAACTATTTTTTATGAAAATAACATCTGCTAACTAAATTTAAAGATTACCGTAGGTTACTATGTGAAAACAGGAACTCAAATACGATATGCACAAAACTCACAGCACTTTCCGTAAAGTGCTCATCAAAACAAGTATATCTGAACGAGTATAGCAGTATAGTAAAATTTTCCAGAAATTTTACTTACGCAAGAAAGATAGCAGGAAGTGAAAACGGCTCATTTTCCTCATCATCTAATTTCCCGGCTAGTGAGCCGGAAAAAAGAAAGAAATAAACTAAATTTCCCAATGAGCATATTTAATAGGAAACGACATATTTCCTAGTCAGTAAGAAAGTGAAAGCAGACCCATAAAAGTGACTACAACAACAACAACGGTCACCAAAAGTAATTCTTTGCTGTTTCAATTACTTCTAGATCAAAAACAGGAACTGTCCCTAAAGTCCCGTTATGAAGTGTATGTAATGGGATTGTCTTCCAAGCAAATATTTTCTGTTTTGACGCTCCAGCTGGAAGAAACGAAAATTTTTAGGACGGCGAGTGGTTCCCATACCAGACGGTTAAGAATTAAATAGGAGGGCTAGACGATTTAGAAAGGAAAGAATACAAGCAATACTTCTTACAGGTATCTAAAAAACAATTTAACTACTTCTACCGTTCTATAAATCTAGTGTGAATCTACTAAAAAGCTGGAATGCCTTACAATTTCTTAAGCTTCAAAATTGGACTTCTGTTTTTTTCTCTTTTCCTTTCTTCTTTTATACTTGTTTTTCGACTGCCTTTGTTGTTTAGTTAACTTAAAATTTGTCTTCTACAGTAAAGTTCATTTTTTTCCGTTAGTTATGCCGAAAATATAACTCTGCATCATAAGAACTATAGCTTATATGCAAAACATCCTTGTTAGTGACCACGACGACAATCGATCCCATATGAATAACATCACTCATTTAAAGGACTTCCAGCTACGTATCAGCTTTAACAACTACTGCAGTTCATGGCATTTAAGCATTTTTTCTTTGCCTATATTTCTAATCATTTCTCTATTTGGGGTCTTTGACGTAATTGTATTCACCTGCCAAGAGTTCATTAACACCTATGCAATTTCTAATTAATCTTTACTCAAACTAAAGTTTCCAAAGAAAATAGTAAAGGAACATACGGGTTTTCAGAAAGTGAACAGAAGTGGAT